GGACGCCGCTGAGGAGCCGGGGCAGCGGGGGCCAAGCGGGGGCATCGCCTGCCCCACCAGCCGTCTCGCCCATCATCAAGAATGCCGTCTCACTGCCACAACTCAACGAGGCGACGTACGACAGTGGTGGTGGCCGGGGCTTGACCAGCAAGTTCTCCTTCAAAAGTGCCTCCAACAGCTTCTCCAAAACACACCAGGCCTACGGTGAGTGAAGCGCAGGGCAGGGGCTGGCGCCCAGGCACAGCGCATCCTCTGCAGCCCTTTTCCATCGCTCCATGCCTCAGTTTCCTCACTGAGGGACTTTAGGCTCTCAGGAGATACAGGACATTTAAGAGTCCCCAGTCCTGGTAATCCCTGCGAGGAGATAACCCTAACCTCCTCCTCTCCCTCCCCTACAGCCCTATGCAGCTGGCAGCCTGTGTGGAGTAGTTGTAAGGGGGTGCCCCCCATCTCCCCCCAGCCCTAGACCACCCCAAGAGGGTGCTGGGACAGTGGGGCAACGCCCATGCCAAGGTAGCAAAGTCAAGGTGGCCCACAGCACGGCCTTCCCCACCTCCGTGCAGATGCCCCAACCCTGACCCTAGCTGTGCCAACCCCTCCATCTCCATGTGCTCCTCAAGAATCTTGGTCCCCGCCTTGCCCATTGACCTCACATCCCTCCCTGCCAGCTGGGGTCTAGGAGGCACCTTTGGGGAAAGGTTGTGGGTCGGATGGGATGGGACAGCTGGGTGGCTCTTCTCCAGCCTCACAGCACTGGGTTCTGGCTCAGCTTTTCCCCAGGGAGGGAGATCCAGGGCAGAGGTCTCGGGGGGAGATCTGGGGGGCCTAAAGCAGCCGAGGGAGGTGGCTGGGCTCAGAGGGAAAGGCAAGCTGAGGAAATGCTGCCATCTCCTGGTCCCACCTGCCTCGCTCAGCACCCACCAGCATCTTACCAAGCCCAGAGCCCACCTGGAGACCCTCCGCTGTCACTCTGGGCTTTGGAGATGTCCACACAGATACTGGCCTGTCCTTTACAGGCCAGTGCCACCGACGGGAGCGTGACCTGCCCCACTTCGGTGGCAGTGTCCTTTGTCCCCTGCAGATGTAAGGCAGGCTTCCTCCCACCTAGCCGCGCCCCCCCTCATCAGCCATCCCTTCTGCCTCACAGGTCTGGAGTCCGGGTTTTGCACCATCCCTCGTGTCCCCCGTTTGGAAAAGGCCCAAGAAAGCACCTTCCCCGGGGAAGCAGAGCTGAAGCGCTCGGACTCCCTGCTCTCCTTCCGCCTGGACCTGGGGCCCTCCCTGATGAGTGAGCTCCTCCAGGTGATGAGTTTCTCTGAAACCAATGGAAACAAGGTGGGGGAGGATGGCCCAGACCTCCCGTGTGGTGAGGGGACCAAGGACGGGGTCCCTGCAGCATCGGGAGCATCCCATGGAGATGACAAGGCAGACCGCGAGCATCCCATGGAGATGACAAGGCAACGTCCAGCTTCTGGGACCGCTCTGGGCAAAGCAGCCTGTCGGGGGCCAGCTCACTGCCGGGACTGTCGGTCCGTGCCAACGGAGAGGCACATGCCATCGAGGGCACTGGAGAGGACCCTGCCTGGGCTTTGGGGCTGGAGGCCGCGCCCAGAGGGACCCCGTGGCAGGGGCACTGGAACGACTGCACCATCGAGGCAGGAGAGTTTGACCGGGCAGCCCAGGTCCTAGCCCGCCATTACGGTGGGACCAGCACCCCGCGGAGCTCGGAGAAAGGCGAG